GAGATTAAAACATCAGTGATATTTCACTGAACTCCATTACTGAACTAATAAACCAACTGTATCTAAAGATCTTCCTTTCTTCTTCTGTTATTATTACAATGAAAACAATGGCTCTCTATCTACAAATCTCTCCATCTTTGCTCTAGACTGCAAATTTCCAAATTCTTAGACATTTCTTGCAGTGATTTTAAAATTTTCAAATACTACTGTAATTTTCCCTCTATTCCTCATACCAGTTTAGTATAGAGCACATCATTAGTTTATTTGAAATACACAGAGTATGCAAGACTATGGCTTCCTGAGATTACAAAAAACACTGTGCTTGTAATAGTTACAATGACTCTATCCTGTGCAGACTTCTGTTTGCTTAAACCTTTAGCTAACTGTGGTCACTTTTGCTTATTTTCCCCTGGCTTCTTTGACTCCACACTCCTAGTTTTCCTTCTACTTCTCCAGACACTCTGTCAGTCTCCTATACAGTGTCCTCCTCTGCTTCAAGGTCTTTAAACTGGCTTTTTCCTTAAGACTGCTTCTAGGTCCTCTTCTCATGCTAGGTGCTATTACTGAGTGATCACAATCATTCACATTGTTTTTGCTATCATTCTTAAGCTGAAAAATCTTTATTTCTAGCACCAACCTGCACACTAAGTTTTAGACCCATATATCAAATTCTTCAGGATATCTTCATTTGAATGTCATAAGGCATTTCTAACTCACATCTGAAATTGAACTTACCATCTTCTCTGCCATCCTCTGTCCCACCTGCACCACAGAAAGTTCCTCCTTACAGATCTCCCTATCTCAATACAAACACTATCACAGACCTAACTGGTCAACTCAGAAAACTGAAAATCACTTTAAACTTCTCATCCTTATAACTTCCTTATATCCAAATATCAAGTGCCGTCAATTCTACCTACTAAATATCTCTCAAATGTGTCTATTTCTCTCCATAATTCATTCATCTATTAGCTATTAATTCAGTGGTATCTGTGGGGCAATAGGTATACCAACAGTTCCCACCCTTATAAAGCTTATACCTTAAAGAAACCAATAAATATAAGATTACATTTAAAGATGAGTGCTGTGAAGGAATCAAGCAAGAATACTGTCAGAGAACAATGGCATATGGGGAGGTCTGTTTAGAACTGGCTTAACACATCTGACCATGGCTAGACAAGCAAGACAGCCATGAACATCATGATCAAGAGTCTGATTTTATTATTAGCGCAAAGGAAAACCACTGAAAAATTTTAAGCCAGGAAAGGAAGACTTTTTTTCCCTGCTTAGGATGATTCCCACTAATTATAATTAGAGCAAGGGCAGGGTTTAAAATGAATAAGATGACTTAGACAGCATACTATACTTTTGTCAGCTCTCTTCCCAAAACCATCTTTTACTCAATTCTTTTTGTTTTTAATATTTTATTTATTTATTCATGAAAGACAGAGAGAGAGAGAGAGAGAGAGAGAGAGAGAGAGAGAGAGAGAGAGGCAGAGACATAGGCAGAGGGAGAAGCAGGCTCCATGCAGAGAGCTCACGTGGGACTCCATCCCGGATCTCCAGGATCACGCCCTGAGCCGAAGGCAGACGCTCAACCACTGAGCCACCCAAGCATCCCATTTTTACTCAAATCTAAATCCACTCTATTATATGGAAACAGTATTAAAGATTATAATACGACAGCATCATTTTATTATATCAACTTCGGTGAACTATTTTACTTAATTCCAATTTATTCAGCAATAAAGTCAGGCACTCCCTTCTAGTTCTAAAACTCTAGGACACTGAAACAGAAAGAAAGGAAGACTGGGGACAAAAACAAAATTACAAGAGTCAAAAATGGAGTAGGCAGGATATTCTGAATGTCTTAGATTTTTTTTTTTAAGTAGGTTACTAAATATTTTATCCTGGAATATAGAAAGAAAACTTTGAAACAGATATTATATAAAAAGCATTACATTAAGTAATTATCTGAATACTATAAAAGCTGTAAGTAAGAAGGCATATAAAATTGAAGCTAAAAACTCTGGCAATATGTAACAAAGTGCTATTCTCAAAAGAGACTTAATAGAGGAAAATGTTCTTTCACTACAAATGAATAATCATGAATAGTTGAACAAACATTTTGGGGCTTTTTATCATTTCAACTGAGTTACAGGTAACTTGCCAATTACTAATTAATACCTTTGGATCAAAGATCTTGGAATTTAAAATAATAAGCTACATATATGACCACATAGGGCACAGAGAAATAGGTCATAATTTCCATGCTATTCTCCATTTGAAAAAGAAATTCAAGCAGTTAAAAGTTTGCTTCACATGGAAAATTTTGCATGCATATATACAAACAGTTCTTTATGTTCTCACTGACCTTCATCTACCATCCATGAAAATAAACCAATAACAAACAGTTTTCTCTTTATTATTCCCAGGATTTGGCTATTTTTGCTAATCCTGACCAGAATATTCAGAATCACTTAACTCAATAATGTACTGTTTCTTTATAAATGCTAAAATTCAGTTTCGAGAAATTAAAGATTTATTTTTATGAAATCTATAATGGGAACTAAAAACAAAACCAAAAAGATGTAACTTCTACATAGGGAAACCATTGATTAAGTCCAGTGATTGACTACTTAACAACAAGTCATAAAATTCCCTGGTAGGAAAAATGTAAAAAAGGCTTTAAATAAGTGGAGAACCCTATGAAATACATATATTAAAATAAACAAACATACCAGAAAGGTAATGATTCTTCAAATAAATATGACAACCCTATTAAAATGCAACACATGTTTTTCTGCTAAAAGGAAATCTAAGAAGATGAAATAGATGCTACATATAAAATATTTACATATACAATGCACAAAACTCACTATGGTTAGTAACCTTCGTGGCTTTCAAGAACTAGATATTTACATATCATTCTTTCTGCATGTGCGTGTGCGTATGTGTGTTTTGTATATATTTTTAACAGTTGACAGCTGTTTTAGAGCATACAGAGATGCCAAGCTGAATGAGGGTCTTGATTACTTCAAGATTAGCTATCTAAAGTTTCTATTCATTTTAAGTGTTGTTAGTTGGAAGAGTCATTAGTCACTTCCTTGTCTCATAGAACATCAGCATACATTTACATTGTTAATGAACATTTGGGGTAAATGAATTAATGGCACTTTTAAACATCAATTCAGTCCTAATAACTTTGTATGTCATAGAAATGTTAGGCTAGGATATAAACGAAAAGCCTTTTCAGTAAAGGTAACTACTCTACTCATTCCTGCAAACAATAAAGGATAAAATTAATTTAAAATGTTTTTTAACCAGTTAAAGTAAAAAAATAGAACCTCAGTATTTAATGAGCTAGACCAGAGAAAAATATGCACTTTAAAAAAGGAAAGAAAAGGAACTATCCTAAAATAAGCACATCAATCAGAAAATTTTGGTGAAATTATTTTTTTTGGTGAAATTATTTTATATGCTTATAACAAAAATATATTTACTTTTAAAATATCCACATAGGGGATCCCTGGGTGGCGCAGCGGTTTAGCGCCTGACTTTAGCCCAGGGCGCGATCCTGGAGACCCGGGATCGAATCCCACATCCGGCTCCCGGTGCATGGAGCCTGCTTCTCCCTCTGCCTGTGTCTCTGCCTCTCTCTCTCTCTGTGCGTGTGTGTGTGTGTGTGTGTGTGTGTGTGTGACTATCATAAATAAATAAAAAAAAATAATAAAAATTAAAAAAAAGAATCTAGTTTTTAAAAAAATAAAATAAAATAAAATATCCACATAGAAGAGTTTGTAAGATACTTTGACTTATTTAATAATTAGTGCTTCTTATAAATTATTACATTTAGGAAAAAAATCACCAGGAGATGTAGTATTATTACCACTGAACTTAAGACGCTGACACTAAAATGAGACACTATTTTTTCATATTATCAAAACTTTGAACAATCTTTCTGAGACCTTTTCAATAAACATACATATAAAAATAAAAAGTAAAATCACAAAATAAGTTGTAAGGCAAATTACACTATTTTTTACTGAAAACAACAATGGCATTTGTATGACTCAGAAGATAGTAAAAATGCATAAAAACCATTAACACACTCCATAAAGTCAAATCTTGTGCACAGAAGTAACCACTCTAAGGAATCAATCATTCTTTTCTAAATTCCCAAAACACAAGTTAATAGCAAACTTTTGAACCAATATTGAAAAAAAATTATCTGAAATAAAATATATGTGAATCATTCTAATTATGATTTTTAAAAATAGATCTTGTAATCCTGAGGTATCTATTTCATGAGTAAAAAAATTTCAAATAGTTACCTGAGTCAATGAATCAATCAAAAATAAAGATAAGGCTTTAAGAATTTGCAAACTGACCACTTCCTTTTCCGAGATGCTATAGTATTACTAATATGAATAAACAAAACGGGGTTCTGAAATATACATATTTGATAAATTTTTACAAGGTACCCTGAATATAGTTTACCTTTTACAGTCTCTCTTACTCCTTCAACAATTTAAATGCACAGATCTTCAAAAGTACAACACAAACTTCAATTAGTTTAAAAAGGGAGAGACAGAGATGAAGGAGAGAATAAGGCAAGTCTTTTATCTCAGAATAGTGTCAACTTAAAGGCAAAAATTCCTTACAAAATCAAGACCAAAAGCTTCGAGTTCTTTAAAATATGTTTGACAAAGACCATTTTGATTTCAACATTCTTATGCTAAAGTAACTGTTTATCATTTGTTTTTTTAAGAATGACAGTGCATTAAACATTTGGCTAATGCTTCTGTCTATAATTGAAAGTTGATGTTTTGTGGTATTCATTAGTGTCAGAGTGCTCTCTACCTATCCAGTGGAGTATGCTTCAAGATGCCCTGCTCAGCTTCATGTAAGAATTACACACATAAGGCAGGCAAAGCTAACTAGAGGCTCTCTCCTTGGTTTTCCAGTAGCCACATAATGCATCCGCATACAAAACTCACCTCCAGTCTTGTTTGAGTAACTCGACAAGGGGTCAATGCCCACTTCTTGTTCTTCTGGCTGCAGAGGATGTCTAGTTTCAGATAAGGAATGATACATTGTGAAAACCAGACAATGTCATCAAAAGTGACTACCTGGGAAATTAAGAGAGAGAGAGAGAGAGAGAGAGAGAGAGAGAGAGAGAGAGAGAGAAATGATATTTTTTCTTATTGCTATGACTGGAATTAAATACACGATTGAAATGATTAAATGAGCATTACAGACATTAACAAGTTTTCCACAGGCTTCAGGGACTGTTAAAACACATTGGCAGGCATATGCAAGGAAGTGAAAAGTGGCACAAAATTTCCATTTCAACAATTTCTCCCCAAATTTGTACTTCACTGGTAACCATTACCTCAATGTTCAATCACATTTACTTTCAATAAACTTCTGCACAAAATGTTGAATTTTAAGTTAAATTGTTGTCTCATTTATAACATCTTTTTGTTTCGTTACCAAAATAATATATTTACAATAGGAATTTTCAAAATATGGAAAATATAGCATATCTAAATCATTCATAATTCTATGAACTAAAAACAGAAGCCCTCTTAACATTTCATTTCAAAAAATATATTTTTAATGTGATCTAACATACTAAATATACTGATTATATAAATTATTGTGGGTATTTTCCATCCCATTAAAAAAGACCATATTATCACTTCAAATAAACCCCTAGTATTCCATTAAATAGTTATAATGATGTACATAACCAATTCCTTATAGTAAACAGAATGCTTTCAGTTGTTTAACACTATAAACAGTTTCATGGTGAGTATCTTTTAGTAATATTTCTATGCAACATCTATGATTATTTCCTTAAGATAAATTTGGGAGGTCACTGCTGGGTCAAAACATGTATTAAAAAAAATAAGACTCTATAGCAAGTTTTGGCAAATTGTACTCTAGAAAGGTTTTTATGTAAGACAATTCATTACCGTGGACCCTCATTAACAATGGGAATGGGTGATTCATTTTATAGAATGTGAGAGGCACATTTTATATTGCATTTGCTTGACAACTAGTGAGATCAACAAAGATTCATATGTTTTCTCTGATATTTATTTATTATCTTTTGTGGATGGAGTTTATTATGATTGTCTTCATAATTTGTAAGTATGCTTTAAATATTAGGAATATTAAACCTTTGTCATATATTTTTCTCAGAGTGTGTCAGTCTTCAAATAACATGGTGTTCTTGTGACATTAAGTAATTTTTTCATTTCTGTGTACACAATAATATCTATATCTCCTTTATGGTTTCCACCTCTGGTATTATTATACTTACAAAGGCAAGATTATATAAATAACCACCTATTTTGTTTAGTCATTTTGAAGTTTTTCCTCCTGTATTCTGATTTCTAGAAATGATTTCAACTTAAACAAAGATGTTTTTAATTAATTATCGAACTTTTTTTTTTAAAGATTTATTTATGATAGACAGAGAGAGAGAGGGAGACACAGGAGGAGGGAGAAGCAGGCTCCATGTCAGGAGCCCGACGTAAGACTCGATCCCAGGAATCCTGGGCCAAAGGCAGGCGCTAAACCACTGAGCCACCCAGGGATCCCCTGTTATTGAACTTTTTAAGCCACACTAACCACTTACAAATTTTTTAATGTCTGTAAGATACAGATAACTGTACTAAATCAGAATCTTTCAAAAAAATAAATGGGCTCACTAATTTTCATCCAAAATAATGTAATACATGAAATTTTAAATTTCAAGAGAGAGGAGAGACATGATATAGGAAGAGTAAATGAGGAATGATAAGTTGGAAAAGCAAGCCCAACCAAAATGAGTATATAATTTTCCAGGATATGGACTCCAGTTATGAAGAAAAGGTTCCAGAGAAGCCCATGAATACACAAATCTTTGACCACCTTCTTCCCAACACAAAATTCTCCTCTATCCTTTATTTCTCCCCAAAAACATCTCACTCTGTAGAACAGTCTTGTACATTTTCTGAGTTTACCAGAACCCTCCAACTCTCACCTACTTGCACAGATAGTAAAAAATCCTTTCCACCTTAGATTGTGGCTAAAGCAAAAACAAAGAGGTAGGCAAAACCAACTTTAGAGAAAGCAGAAAACTTTCATTGCCAACATACAGTAAGATTTTCTAAAGCCATAAATCAAGTCCTAAATCCAAAAATCTAGACAGCCGTCAGTTATTTGCTTCGTATGTGTGCAAATCAATCAACATATATTTAGCACTTAAAATACTGAAGGAATTCTGGAGAATGTAATCTAGTAGAGGACAACAAAAAGTAAATGATCAGTTATATATATTATAAAACAGAATCTGATAAATTTTGCCGATCAAATGAATAAACAGATTAAAGTTCTCTGCTATGGAGAAGTAAGGACCACCAAACTCAAATGCCTAATGGGGTCAAGCAAAAAAACATTATTAATCAAAATCAGCAATGATTGAGAAGTGAATAGAAGTCAAAAACCACATTTTTTCTTAAAGATTTTATTTATTTATTTATAAGAGACACAGAGAAAGAGGCAGAGACACAGGCAGAGGGAGAAGCAGGCTCCATGTAGGAAGCCTGATGTGTGACTTGATCCTGGAATTCTAGGATCACACCCTGAGCCGAAGGTAGATGCTTAACCACTGAACCACGCAGGCATCCCAAGTCAAAACCACTTTAAATGCTTCCTGTATACTCATCATTTCATTCTCCCAACAGCGCTACTGACATACCGTCCTCATCCTTTTCATTTTACCAGAGAGAAAATGGAGGGATTAACTAATTTGTCTACAGTCACACTAGTAGTAAGCGCTGATGCCAGAATTTGAACCTACCTTGTCTAGCTCCAGAGATCACATTCTTTACTCTGGCACTATATTTGGCTTTCTGTAAGCCAATCAGACAGAGACAAGGTATAAAACAAGGAGTACAAGGGGATGGGGTCTGTGAACAACTAAAACACCCTATACTCTGCTTTGATTTATTCAAGACAAGCTAGAAACCCAGAATTTTATGTGAAATCTCTTTAAAGTGCTGGTAAATAATTCAAATTTAAAAAAAAAAACTGTGTGGAACAGATTAAACACATTTCAAAACTGTATTTGGCCCATGGACAACTATTTTAATGTTAAGATACATATTCTCCATACATTTTGTTATACTTTTGAAAATAGGAGAGAAAACATTTGAAAATGCATATTCCAAGAGCCAGATTTCCATAAAATTTCTTTAATGTCCTAGACATGTTTTCATATCATTACCTTAATTCTTTCTTATTATAGTACAATTCCACTGTTATAGACTTTATATACCTAAAATATACAAAAAGGGGATTTTATGTACTTTGAACTTTATGAGAAATAAACAAGTAACTACCAAACTGATATCAAAGTATATTTTTAAATGAAACTTTAAAAAATACCTACCTTTTTTTTAATACCTACCTTTCTATAGCTAAAATATTCTACAACATGATGATGCTTATATATTCATTCAAGATTTTCAAAGATACTTAAGGTCTTTTTGACTCCTACGAGAAAGTTAAGTTCAAGAAGTCATCACCGATTTAAGTAATAATTCTTTAGAAACTGACCTCTATGGTTATAACTGATAACCAACATATAAAATTTACCAAATACAGGAGTCTACAACTAGCCTGTGAATAAGGGACAAGCAGGGCTAGGTAGGGGGCCATGGAATCAGGCTCACAAAAATCCCAAAAATGTGGAGATGAAAGGAAACCAAAAATAAATAAACCAGACCATCCTAACCCAGGTGCTAAGGGTGGAGTCCTGTTATAACAGTCACTTGTAACCAAGAAAGAATTACAAGACCCTAAAAAGTAAGCCACTGAAGGTGTTACCACTAGTCCTTAAATCAATGATGTTATCAATAGAGATGTTAAAAGAATTTAGGTTTCCTGGTTGCCTTCCAATAAAAGACCAACCCTACAAGCCCCCAGTGGCAACCCTGTAGGAAACCCTCTCACTCCTGAGAACTTTCTCTGTATCCTTGCTTAATAAACTTCAATCTCTTTATTCACTCTCCTTTATCCGGGAGATTCATTCTTCAACTCTGTGAGACAAGAACCTAACTCTCCCGCTTCAATCTGTATAATCAGGCATCTACTATATTCTAATTTATTATACCTATAGATGGAAACTGAATCACTGAAATTCTTTTATATTCAGATAAAGTAAACCAGCTGTAAAGTAATAATGAGTTACTTTCAAAAAATTGAAGAAAAAGTCTCATAACGTTCTTACTTTTCTTTTAATTATGGATTTAAATAATAATCTGGTTCAAAAGTAACTTACTAAGCAGATATTGCTTTGTTTTTTTGTTGTTTGGTATTAATTTTTTATTTTGTTTTTAATCTTAATTCTAGTGTAGTTAACATACAGTGTTATATTAGTTTTAAGCATACAATATAGTGATTCAACAATATTTTACCTAGAAAGATCAGACCATAGGAAAATATTTGAATTCAAATAGAGAGTTAAGGCAATTTTTTAACCTGAAAATTTTAAGATAATTTCTATTAAAAGTCAAAATGGCATAAACATTTTGAAATGCGCAATGCACCATTACATCTTTTACCTCTATTACAAACCCAGACTTCTATATTTGGTATGCCTTAATCTTTTCTATACAAAAAGCAGATAGAAAAATATGTAATAACCAAAAATATATATCTTAGAGTAAATGACTACTAAAATCCATAATTGATAGATTTCAGTTTTCTTAAATGTCGTTCTGTCTCTAGAATTTCCCACAAAACCCTCAGAATTGTTAAAACTGAAGGCAATCTTATTTTTTCTAATTTAGAACATGCAGCAATATACCTTCCAAGACGTGAGAAAGGAGATATCCCTTCTTTGCTACATTACTATAAATAACAGTTAAATTTCCTGCTCCACATAAACTCAAAATTCACAAAACTCAAAATTGGTTGTGCAATATGGTTTTACTGCTATCCTGGTCACAGGAATTGACACTTTAGGCTAAAACTGCCATTTATAATCCAAGACTAATCTTAAGGACAGTTATATTGGCTTTATAAATCTGGTTCTTGCAATATTAAATTTTAGAATAAAAGTGAAATGCCTGAA